TAATATATCCGTATGTTATTCGTATAGTATTCTTGTTAAGTCGATAAATCAGTTTCTGTCATTTTTATGCTCTTCTCCACGAGACATGGCGTTTTACTTAGCTGAAAAGCGTCCTCTTGTTGCGTCAATAACTGTTGCTTTACAATACTTTGACAATAGCTTTCATCTCGTGTACGTATAGTTTATGAAAAAGAAGAAATAATCGATGATTCCATAGGTCCCGTAATATAATCATAGATGAACTGAATCAAAAGATTACCGCTGCTTGAAACTTTTATCACTTTGAATTATTCATGATGTCTGAATAATCCGTGATTTACGTCTCTAGTCAGTGCGATATATTTAAAAATCCTAATCTTTTATGAACAAATAAAATATCACATATAATGAGAAGTAGTAAACAGAATGTAAATATTTTTATTTTCTCACGTGTGTAGTCACAAATGGAAATAGTATTGTGCAATAAATGTTTCATTAAAATATAGGAAAATAATATTTCATCAAATAGTAATATTTCACAGAATAGTATTTAGAAATGGTATTGCAACTAATAGTATATATACACGTATCTCGTTTATATTTTATATACAGATATACTCGAATCTCGTCACTACGCTCGTCGGCATTCATATTGTATCAATCTAACAGAATAGAAGATAGCGAGTGACAGTTGCGAAATATGTTTAGCTTTAAAATTTGTATGTCTTGTTTTCAATTCTCTATTTTCGATATTTGAATCCGAGTGAAAGTAGTAAATAGTATTTTCTCATGATTTAAACACTTAATGAAATAGTATTTCATTTAAGCATTAAATAAAGTAGTGTTTCCAAATAGTATTTACTTATGCAAATATTTCAATGTCTACTATTTTATATCAAATTATTTGAAATTTTCCCTAGCCCTGCGAACACGATAAACAAAACACGATATCGTGTCGCGACAATTTCAATGGTACGTTTTATTATTAAACCCTATTGCTCCTTATTTTTGTATGAAATTATCATAACAGGTTACCAATCACTTTGAGTACCGGACACCGAGAAATACACAATTCGGGTACCAGAATCTGCCAATGTCTTACGTAACTCGAAAGAAAGCTAATTCTCTAATCGATATTGCCTCGATTTGAAATTCTAATTCGGATTAGTCTAGAAATTCGCGCAACCCCTTCCCGTTGCTATGAATACAGCTGCCGTATTAATTAATTGCGATAGACAAATGCAATGTGTGTTTCTTTCGGCGTGTATTTGCAGGAGTACCGACGGACTCGCGATCGGCTCGCGTATTTCATACTGGCGGACTGATTTACGGACTCTTAACAAGTGTCGAGAGATTATCTGGCGCATATTTTCAAATTAGCGGCATCATCGACACCGACGACAGTCGATCGATCCTCGTTGCTCGATTTTCGTTATCGCGGCCAGCCTCGCGGTGAGATACATTCCCCAAAGACACTCGTAATTACAAGCACTACATCAAAATCCGATTCCCGGTTCGTGTCTCGCTTCCGCGAATTTCTACGGCAATAAATTCGTGGCTGAAGATCATTCTGCGGTCTCATCTCTCGGTCTCACCTGCGATCGTCCCAACCTGGTCGCACCTGCCGAGCGAATCGCTTGCGACTCGTTGATCGGCGGTATCGTTACGAAAATAATGACCCGCATGAAAACGTCGATTCCTTAGACTACGACAGTGGACGCATGCTACGAGCTAGAACTCCGAAACGTCTGAAGACTGAGACGTATACTTTCATAAGCGTTCATATACTAGGTTGGTTGGAGAGAGAAAATTTGTGAAACGAGAATTAAGAAATTAATTTCTGTTATTTATAACTTTGCAAGTCTTGAATAATCTTCCGTTTTCTGAGTAGTATTGAATCTTTATATGAGTAACTCTCACAGCTACCTAGATTATTTAACATCTTGCCTACGTGTTTCGAGTAAATTTTATGAAAATAAATAATATATAATAATGAGATTATACTCACGAATGAGATGGAGATGAACATTTCAGTTACAATTAGACATACAAGATATGCAACATTCTCTCGCTAAAAGAACGAGTTCTGTTTAATATTCAATTAAGACTGTAATATTTAATAGCTCTGGCGTATTTTTCAGAGGGTTAATTGCTCAGGAGACAGATTCGCGGTAACTATAACCTTAAATATGCGACAGTAGACGCCCCCGTATAACAGTCAGACATAATAGCGTTCGTGTGTGAACTTAATGCGTTCGGTTGTGTGTCTTTTATAAATAGATCGCGTATGGTGTTGGACTAACAGCTCGTCCTATGTTGGCGCAATGGTGGTATCGCCGTAGTGGCGCAGTGTTGCTATTATAAGGACCGCAAATCTGTCATCGATCGCAAACGGACGTCGAACATGGAGGGAAATGGAGGCGGAACAGCGCGAGCACGCGAAAATCCCACTTGCATCGTCGAGTAACTGGACACGGGGAAAACTTCCGGTCTATCTATTCATCGAGAAAACGCCACCTGTCGCTCGTGTGTCTCTCGTCGATGTCGTTTCACCGACGTCCGGCGTATGTTCTATCGCGGCAGATGATTGATGAGAACAATGGTCGATGACGCGTGAGAATGAACAGAGAAGAAAATTTCCTATGATCATGAATGGAATTGTACGTTACAAAGAAGCTGGTTCGGCTAACTGCATCAGAAAATAGTTTCGTTAAAACCTGACAGACGTATCTATCAAAGTTTAGCAACTCAGAGACAGCCTATTGTAGAAGATAGAACATTTAATCCACTGTCTGTGAATACACGTCTCCTTAATGTCCGACTCGAACTTCATAATTAAGGCAGTTATCCGCCGACAGAGATACATAATGCTAATTAAACAACAGATAATTTGTCCATTACCATCCTCGCAGACGGTAACACGGTACCTCTAAACGACTGTCTCTCGCGTCTATTTATAGAGCAGTTTTCGTTAGCAGTAGCCCCATGAATCAACAACGCGAAGCGCGGCCATCTCATTGAAAGGCGCGCGAAAACGGCTGAATGGGTTTCGCAGAAGCGTATAATGGAAGCGTGGCCACCTCCACCGAGCGAGCACCGTTCGCCAATCACGTTTCTGTCACCGTCGCAATGTCGGTCTCATCGGTTGAGCCTGTCGCCACGATATCAGGGGAAACGGCCGCCTCTGTCGCGGAACAGTGGCCGTCGTTGTTCACCTAATGGGCTGCGCATTTCTCCGTCCGCTTTCACAGCCAGCTGATTATGACATGTTGGTCGCGACTAGAGCGGGAGAGAGAGAAAGAGAAAGAGAGAGAGAGAGCAAGATATCCCATACCACGTGCTCCAGTCACCGTAACGCCATTTGCCCGGCTAATGACTCGCGGACACTCGGTTACTACATAACATAGTCGGCCCTTCTTCGCGCAGCGGCGCGCCGCGGCGGCTCGCAGACGACTCTATTCGACTAGAAGAGAGTGTCATTCGCATTAAACGAATTCGGTATATTGAAACGTTTCTGTTTCACCGCGTATCGTGTACGTGTAATTTCCTCGCATTAGTCACGTCACTCGATACATGATTTACAATTTCAACTAGCGCGCGCGCCACGAGAAGACGTTGATCGGTCTGGTAGCGTTCAGAGGTAAATCACCGATTATGGTTTCGCGATTTTTCACCGTCTCGGAACGATAGATCGTATCTGTAAGAGCGGTGATTATATGACTTTTTAAATGGTCGGTGAAATAAAACGGTAGCTGGCCGGATAACTTTATCCGATCGAGGGAACAGCATTCGCGTTGAACAATCTGCGGCTCGTTGAATCGGATGCGGTAGAATAATGGGTAACAAATTAGTCGGCTCGTATCATGGTTGCTTATCTATATGTGCAGTCGGTTCTAATGGGATTAGCGATCGTTCGAGTACTGTGCACGATACGAAGGCTTGATTAACGCGGTCAGGAAAGAACCGTGCGCGATTATATTCGCATACCTCGCACGGCTCGATTTATCGAAGACGGTTGATTAACCGCGACGCGACGTCTCGGTTCGAAATGATACGCGAGCCTCGTTGCACGAGGGACGCCCCCGTGCTCGCGCAGGAAACGATTCCGTTCCGTCGTGAACGTGGAAACGCCGTCTTACACCTAGGCGGCGTGACGTCGCCAATTATTCATCGCGTATGGTTGCGAGTAACAAATCGCCAGTCAAGTGGCAACACCGTCGGCAGCTTGCGCAAGCGGGGCAAGAAGACAAGATCAAGTGGGGAATAAAGAGAGAAACGGCGAACCAGGAGAAAGAAGACGGAGCGCTCTCGCGGTGTAACAGAGCGAAGAGGAGAGAAAAAGGGTGAGGCGGACTCCTCCCACGTATGTCTAGATGCGCGTCGCCAGAACGTAAATTTAGCACTAACGCATTATGCACGCTCGGGCTGTGTCGCATTGGGCGTGCGATACCAGCAACAGTGGCTTCTACGTGCACCGTCTCGAAATGGTTGTCACGTTACGCAGGGATGAGAAAAGAGATCAGGCTTATTTCGCGTCGGAGAACGCGCCACGACGTTGAAACGTTAACCATCGGTAATGGAACTGTAAAAGGGACGACGGTGAATGGAACGCGTGTGATCGCGCGACAGAGGAGTGATCAACGCCGTGCAAAAACCAACGCGAGCAGGAAAAGTGACGCTGTATAAAATTCGATGGGAGCTGAAGCTGAAGATGGGTCGCGTTCAACTTGGCCGTTGAGACGAAACGGATTCAGACGCGTGCACCGCGGCTACCGCGAAGTAAACGAAAATAATTGAGTGGCTCATTGAAAATAATCGTAAATCAACACTAAATAACGAGCGCAAGGTCGTCGGTCGTTCTTAGTTTTTAGCCAGTCCACCGGTGAGAAATCTTAATTAGTCCTTTGTGTCCATACGCTGGCTGGCTCGCAATGGATTTGATTAATGCTCGTTTTACCGTGGCTCCCTTTGTAGGAGACGCTAGCTCGCTTAAGAAAACACAATTTACACCGGTGGCCAGGGCCCTCTTGGTGTACGTTTTGTACATGTCTCGCGTAGCGCGCGCAGACTTTGCGTCTGGCATTGAAATCATTATGATTTAGAGATCAGTTGGAGCACGCGAAAATTGAGTCGGCGTACAGCGGCGAGTCATTGCGAACGTAATTATGGTATTTAGTTGCCGTGGCCTCTTGTCACGATGATAAATTTCACGCGATCAATGGACCGAGGAACAACGTATCCCGAGATTATCGTCGTTCGCGGAACTCGACGACACGGGTCGCGCCGCCGCGGCGTTTCAATAAAACGTACCTTCGTTACTTTTAGTTATTCTTAGTCCATTACACGCTGTCAAGCGCGAAATATCAAAAGGGGGGCATCGATCTCGCGCGAATTTAATTTACCCATCTCCCGTCCAAGACCAAACGTATTTTCATCTGTTATTTTCCATCCGCTCGCACCGCGCGGGCAGTAGTTTGGTCCCACAATAGTAACACGAAGACAAATGTTAGCGATAAAGTCACGCGAATTGATGTGCGATGTACAGTTACTACCTTCCCGCTTTAGCGATAATTCGTACTATACTTACGTCGTGACGGTTGTTTTACGTTTCAAACACTCCGCTACCGTGGCAATTTTCATGCTTCTTCACCGGGTTGCGGAATTCCGTGATATCCACTTCTCCAATGAAGAAATTTTTATCCTTTCGATTTATATTTATCAACAGGACTGTCCGTGATTTCCCCTCCCTGCCAACAGTAGAAAAAGTATAAACGTGGTTTCTCTTGCAAGAAAAGAAACGGGTGTTATTGACAGAAAACGAGATATGTAATAAAACTCGCGGCAATTAAGCGGCTTAAGAATTGAAAGAATAACTTAAGTGAAATTTCGTATATTGCACAGCGAATCAAGGGAAAGAAACGAACGTATGTTAAATGTTAAACAATATCTAACTTTCGCTCGGTTGGCGGCAAACTAATTTCATCGACTTTGTGATCTGAATTTCTTTTCTCTTTCGAGTAACACGGCATGGTTGCGATAATATTTCTCCGACAATTTCGGCCGTTCGATGAAACGCAGATGCTACTCGCTGAAGGTGCCATTAGCACGAGCTAATTTATGCAACAATATTTACTCCACTCCGTATGCAACCAAGTATCTCTTCGAGCGGATCTTGATTTTCCGTGCTCGAAAAGAAATGAAAATCGAAGAGCGTCGGCCCATTACGATATCGAGTTGCATTTCGATAAACTAGATTCGGGAAAGAATAATTATCCCTGGCACTTGGTCGGGTAATCAGTGCCAAGGTAATAAAATAGGCGCCACGAGTTCTCGTCATGTATTTAAGCGGTAATCGGTGATTGCATCCGATAATACGGCACGCGGTTATGCGAGTAAACATGTATTATGTAAATGTTTACAAATGCATCCGCAAGTTTATCTGGAAGCTTAGGCAACAAGTCAAATTTTTCTGCAACGATGTTGCATTAGTATGAATTTAAAATTTGTTGAAAAATTTCACGTGACGCCGATACAAAACACAGATAGAGATACAGGTAAAAAGATTATCATTTGGTTGGTATTCAAAAACAAACTGTCCGACGATGTATATATGTACATGCATACGTAGAGGTACTGTCTAAACTCTGTGAGCTACTGTTATACATATAGCAAGTCGAGCCTCAGTTATAGAATCGTGGTGAACTGAAGTACGATGTCCCTGTGAATCGTGCTCACCGATCTCGCGCCTACTTGAGATAATTGCGTCGAAGACGGGGTGATTAACTGACCAGTGCGACTGCATGGATTGTGGGTCGGCCATCTATTTCGATCTGGCCACCGTCTTCTTCCTTCGTAAAAAAGGCATCCACGAGCAACGTCATATTGTTGAGTCTGATTTCCGATTAACACAAGGCTGCTTTCCATGGCCGTCCCGAAGAAATGCACAACATCCATCTGCGATCAAGAGATAAACATGTGAGAGCAATTATGTAACGGCAGGCAGTCGTATTACTTGATACGATCGAGTGCTATACATATAGACACCTGTGTGTAATAAACATTTACGGCTCTGTAATAGAAGAGCAGGAAAAACGAAGTAATAATTCTGACGTTTACGTTGTTGATATTATCGCGTAAAATTATCAGGTTACGTAACAGTGATGTAGCCGATTAAATTTCAGCATTATATTATTAGCATTAGTTGCGACGCTAACCTCTAACTTTTAGACACGTTTTCCATAATTGTTATTATATCATTATATTCTATATTTAAATCATACGTGACATGTTGTATAAAAATTGTTAGATTGAGTATAATTACCTTTAATGATCTGAATGTGCATTCCTTTAACTATACTTCATATTTATACACAGATCGTATTGTAACACCAGTTGTACATATAGATACAATAGTTACCTATTGTGGTTAAAGTGGCGGGATTTTTAATGGCGCGCGTGGTCACGTGACATGTCAATTATCACTGCGCATGGTCATGTGACATGTCAGTTAGCACTGCGCATGGTCACGTGACCAGTCTTTAGTACACGTCGCGTTCGGATGCCGGACATTCACGTTTTAAAATAATGTGAAATTTCGTTCATCTTGTGCGGTCGTTGGTGAAATTTCGTGTATTAGTTATGGTATTTTCATAGTACGTGTTTGCGTAGATACTGTGAAATAACGATTTGTGTGATATTGTTAAAAACATTTCCAGGATTCAGTGAAAATCAATTGCACGCTGTCCTGCCATCTCACTGAAGGTACGCCGGTAACGGTAAGATTGAATTCATTTCTCATTAATTTTTCACATAATGATACTTTCAATATGCATACACCAGCGTTAGTACTTAAATATGATTATTGTCATAGGTATAAACGATTATTACTAGAAATAAATACGTATAACGTATATTATTCGTACAAAAATATTTCGAAGTTGCAACATTTGATGAAAGTTCCAGCATATACTATAGCACAGACTAGCAAAGACTAGCATATACTATATCTCTCCATTTTCGTACAGCGAAGCGTGGCGCACGTCTGTGTTACACTCTATTATTCACGCATAACTTATACAGACTGAGTTATCTCTCTAATGAATAAGGAGAAAGAAAGAAAGGCATATCACAATATTCTTCTAAATTTAATGTCCATAAAAGAAAAATGGGATTTTCATGTGTTTTATTACGTTACTTATCGTTCTTATTACGTTACTTATCTTTTCGTTACTTATTGTTCTGTTTCTTTTGTATCGAATGCATTGCGTTGCACTCATTTACTGCAAGCATGCACATTTAGCTAGATCTGTCCTCCTCTGTGACAAAAGCAAGCCGTCTTTTCCAAGCTTTAAAGATTATCCGTTCGTTTTCTTCTGCTTTTTATTCGTCAATGATGGTAAAGTCATGGTCGTTCTCTCTTGGTAGTGTACTGTGGTTGTGGCGATCAGAAAGGAGGCTGGACGGCGCAGCACGGTCTATTTTGCCCGATCGTCAGGAACCGTGCTATTTTCGATTTGTTCGACGCGCTATTCTATTCCGCGAGTAGCGCGACTAGCGCACCGTGGCAGCTTCCTGCTGGCTTCTAGCGCGCGTTCCCATCCCATCCCTAGGGGCCCTAATGCATTCTCGGCTGAATGGAGAGCGTGGAAGCGATTTTCCTCGGCTGCTCAATAGCCTCTCGTTCGTTTTGCTCTAGACGCGGCGTGGCGCATCGCGGTACGCGGCCAACAGGGGGAGGACGACGGCGACGACGTAACATACGCGCGCTGCTCCCTACGCCGCCAACTCGAATAATTCACATTGTCCGTCGGGAATGGTAGGCAGTCCAGTGCTTTCTTTTGCCAATTATTTCGGGACACGCTGCTGCGAGGAAAGAAAGTCCCGCGGGGCAGAATAGATCGCGCGATTTTCTGCGGACTAATTTAGCTGCGCGCGCTTTCAACCGCCACTGTGCGTGTGCTCTCTTTTTCGCGGTTGCTTTGTCCTTGTCTTTCTTTCCGTTCCTGTTTCACTCCGGCACGAAGGTAAAGGCTATCGTCTTCTCTCCGGCTCCTCAACTCTGTCTTCTTTTTCTTTCTTTTTTTTTCTCTTTCTTCCCTTTCAACCACGCGTCGTCCTTTTCTCCCGCTACGCACCGACTGATCGTCCTTATCGTTCCTTTTCCACGGTGGAAGCTAGCTCGATTATCCCCCTCATTAACGCCATCCATACCGGTATTCCTCCTTTCTCATTTGACCACACCCTTGGCAAGCGAATAACGATACATTATGATGAATCGTCGGTTGTCCGTCATTCGCGTGTGGTATCGTTCGACACTTGAGGACAAGGTCGCGTTTTCGATGATCTGTTATCGGTTATGCAGGGACAGAGGGATCGATATGATGTATGACTGTTTGCACGTTCGTACTTTTAATTACCGCCGCTGGTCCCCGGTGTTCGCGCCAGTCTAACTTTAGAGAGTCGATTTGTTGCTGCTTTCACGCAAGCGCGTGCTCACAGGCACGCCTTGCTCGTGTTACGAACCACGGAAATTTCTATCGATGTTGATGAATCTACCGGATAACGGCAGATTAATGATCGACTCGCTTCCAGGCAACCGACGCCTGCCTGCTTCCTTTTTTATGATTCGGTATCTTCGATTTAGTCTGATATTTGGAGCTTCGAGATAGAATTCATTTTCTTTATAGAATTTTCCTTCTTGTCACAAAATACTCAATGTCCACGTACTTGTTTATCGAAACAGTAACCGCGAATAAGAATCAGTTTCCAACTAATCCAAGTTTTGCTCAAATCATTCCAATTGCTACAATCGTCGTTCTCGATCTGATTCCTCTTGCTGGTCGTTCACAATTCCATTGTTAATAGAACAATAAATAGTTTCAAATTCGATGGAAATTCCTACAAATTCTAATTCTTGATTCTTCACGACGCTAAGCTTCACAGAGGGCTGTTGTTCAACCAACCAACGCAACCAGTGGCCGATCGGTTTGTTGTTCGCAATTTTCGATGCGCTTTCGTCTAGCGAGTTAATGCTCATGGTGTTTCAGAGATCGCTCACGTCATTCATAACGCGAGTGTTATTAGTGCAGATCGCAGTCAGATATACCGTCTGGTCGGTCGTGTGGTTAAAATAAAGATGATGAATGCCCGGTCGTCCCTCGCCGCGGCGTTGGATGTAGATTAATATCGACCCTCGCTCACTTGCTTCACTGTGAGCCCTTCCCTTCTTCTACCTAATATGTATCTGCGGGCTGTGTATGTACGTATGTACACCGAATATCCTGCAACTTATCGGCTAGGTTCTTTACCTTTTCGCCAAGTTGCCTCTTTGTGTCCTCACGGCGTTCTTGTTCGAGATGCTGGCAAGAAACTGGATGCAAGGTGTATAGATTCGATGGTAAAATTGAGAGCCACGCGTACGTATTGTCGCTAGTAATGCCGGATATCGTTCGAGAACTGGTCGAAGAATATTTTTCAGCGGCTTTCTTGTCGTTGGCCGCGGCTCCGACTCGTCTCATAACCATAAGTTACGAGAACCAAGGGAATTGGAATAATTTTCCGATTGCCCGCGGCGGGCATTTCAAGAAACCAGCCCCCGATCGACGCTTGTCACCGTGAGTTCACCGATTCAGGAAGTGAAAACAAGACAACCGTCAGCCGGTTAACGCCAGCCTCAACAAGTACCTACTCTATCCAGATAGTAGTTACGCGTGCGTTATAATCAATTAGAAATTCTACGAGAAATCCAAGTTGAGATTTTTACATAACACAGGTATTTCGAAAACGTTGTTACAAAAACGCGCACGAACATTCGGGCGTTTCCATATTCCAGCGATCAGATAGCGATAGCGATACACAGCGAATCAAACTGTAGCTACGTAACAAGTACTAGCGGGGAAATTTGCATAGTAGTGGGTAACATGCTGCAAGTCGAGCGGTAATTTTAGTTTAAGCCGGGACATCTAATCGACGCGACAGCGCAAAACCATCCTATTTCTTGAATCGCGACACGATCTTTTTGCGATTTTCTCATTAGAGAAAGGTTCGATGCATCTGACGAAGATGCTCGCGTCCGTCGATAGCTAGTTGTGTCATTATATTGCTAACCGATGCAACGACATGTAGCTCAGGGCGTGTCATCGTTTTAACACACGCGGTTCGTTAGAACATTAAAAATGACAGCCTCAGTCCAACTACCTTCCACTCTTGTTTCCAGCGGAAACTTTTTGGATTTCAGTGGTTCTCATTTCTTGCCGCGCGTTCTTTTGAAAACGTACAATCCGGCGAACAAGTCTACTCCGACTGACTCACAGATTCTGTTAAATTATTAGACCTAAACGTTAATAGTCCATTAGATACCGCGTTATAGATACTGCATGTTAATAAGGTTTTTGCCTCGTCTCGTAGACATTTTTCGAACGTAAATTACGCGGTAAATGTAGACCGTCGATGAAAAGTAGAACGAGCAAGTCATTAATCGTAATTACATCGCGGATGTGATAACGTGAAATTATCCGTCGCTTGTTTAATGAGCAAGTCAATCGGATACATAAAAATTCGTCGCCTCGTTTCTTTCTCAAAGACCGAAAAATCCCAATGACTCGAAGTACTTGATGGAACTATTAATTACCTTTAAACATCGACTGCCCGGTTTGGCGCGCGCATTTTTCGTCCCGCATGAAAATGATGTTTAACGAGAAAGGAGGCGTACTACTCATTTGTCAGGGGGAGAAGAAAGGGAGAGAGAAAGAGAAAGAGAGAGAAAAAAGGAAGTTACGTTGAGGTTCTTTTAAACAATTAAAGCGGTTGTTCGTCCAATAGGCAAATAGTCGCTGTTGCGTAGGCAGCAGTCACGAGCACTCAAAGGACAAACGATAATGTCCTGGCGACACTCAGAATGTGTTCCAGATCTTGTTCGCGTTATCGGTATGGGAATGATTCGCCAGGAAACGACATCGAGGCAACACGTGGCTACAAGTATCGTTTCGCGCTGCTTGCCGATTGTAATTCATAACGAACGATTATCAGATTAGATTCCTGCGTAATAGATGCGATGTCGTGCATCGTGCGTCGATGAATCAGCCCGTATCGCGTCGAAATCGATGGACGACAAATTCGAGGTATTCATGCGAAAAGTTAAATCGTCGCTGTTGGCTAATTGTACGTTGCCGTTAATTGGAGATGATCTACGTGGTTACTCGATCTCATCCTACCAACTATTTTCTTCAACGAACGTAGACACTCATTACGATGGGATGCTGAATAGACCACCGTGTGTGTGTGTGTGTAGTATCGTGATATAATCCTTCGTAAGCAAAGATTACACTGGCATGCAGATTATTACAATATTTATTGGCCGAAGTGGAGAGTGCTCGACAGATTTTAGCGAAAATCAGTGGACCGGCAAAG